GGGGACCGGGGGCTGGTGGGGACATCGCAGGGGTACCGCGAGTGATACCGGGGGGTACCGGGGTCTGAAGGGGTCCGGGGGGGACACACGCGGCATCCCGGGGGTACCAGGAGGGTGAGGCGGCGATGGGGAACCCCAAGAAAACGGGGGTAAGGGGGGGGGTCACTGGGGGTGGGGGCGGACCTTGGGGGGGCACCCTGAGGAGGATGGGGGCACTGGGTGGGGGATTCCCTAAGGATCCCTATGGCCGGGGGGTGCTGCCCCCCACCCCACTCCCCCTGTGCCCCCCCAGGCCCTGTCCCTGTGCCGGTTCCTGGGGGAGCAGCGCCTGGACTTGGGGGGGCGGCGGGTTCTGGAGCTGGGGGCGGGCACCGGCATCGTGGGGATCTTCGCTGCCATGCTGGGTGCGGGGGGGGCACCGGGAGGGCACCGGGAGGGCCAGTGGTGGCACCGGGGAGGGCGGGGGGCACTCATGGGGTCGGGGCGGAAGCTTATGGGGGTGGAGAGGGCACCTGAGAGGTGAGGAGAGGCATCTGTGGGGCTGGAAGGGCACACCCTTGGGGTTGGGGGGGCAGCCGTGGGGCTGAGGGGCACTTATGGGCTGGGAGGGCACCCATGGGTTTGGGGGGGGCTCCTGTGGAGCTGGGGGGGTCCCTGTTCCTCTGCCCAGTACAGAATTTGGAACTGTTGTGAGCAGCAGGTTTATTGGGGTCTGTGGGCTCCACGGGTGGTGCCTCCCCCCCTTCCCTGGGGTTTATTGGGGTCTGGGGGCTCCGGGAAGGGTTTGGGGAGGTGCAGTGGGGGTGACCCCCATTCTGACACGGGGCTTAAAGGGGTCTTTTGGGGATGGTTTATTGAGGTCCGGGGGTTCCCGGTGGGTTTGGGGGGGTCCACTGGGGATGGCTCTACTCTTACCCGGGGTTTATTGGGGTCCTGGGGGGGTCTCGGTGTGGTGCACCCCACTTTGCCCCGGGATTTATTGGGGTCTGGGGGTTCCAGGGGGCTTGGGGGTGCCCCGCTCTGACCCCCCTGTCCCGGGGCAGGGGCGGAGGTGACGCTCACGGACCGTCCGGCGGCGCTGCCGCAACTCCGGGAGAACGTTCGGCAGAACTTCCCGGGGGGGTCCCCCGAGGGGGTCGCGGGGGGGGCCCCGCGGGTGCGGGCGCTGCGCTGGGGGCGGGACCAGCGCCGCTTCCCCCCCAAATTCCACCTGGTGCTGGGCTCCGACATCGTGTACGACCCCCGCGCCTTCGGCCCCCTCCTGGGCACCCTCCGGCACCTCGTGGCCCCCCCGGGCCGGGCCCTGCTCAGCGCCCGCCGGCGGGGGGGGGACGCGGGGACCCCCCGTTTCTTCGGGCAGATGTTGCCCCCGTTTTTTCGGGTGCAGCTGCTGCGGAGAGACCCCGAGGGGGACATCGAGATCTACGGGCTGACCCCCCGGGAGGGGGAGCAGCTCACGGGGGGCTGGGGGGGTCCCGAGGGGGATTAAATGGCCTCGAGGGGCCTCAGATCAGCGCGTTGTGTGGGATTTGGGGGAGTTTGGGATTTGGGGGGTGGGGTGGGGGGGCCGGGGGGGCGGGTTCTCTGCTGGGTGGGGGGAGGCAGCTGGACAAGGCTGGGGGGGCTCTGTAAAGGTCAAAGGGGCTCTGTGAGGGTCGGAGGGGTTTAGAGGGGCTGGAGGGGGTTTGGAGGAGGGGCTCTCTGAGAGTCGAGGGGGCTCTGGAAAGGCC